TGTGGAAAATATTTCTCATGATTTCTTTAAACCATTCTCTATTCATTACAGGTTCGTTTGTTTTTTATTGTGACTACTTCCAGCTGGACTGAGAACCATTTTTTATGTTATGGGTTCCTCCTTAGATTGGGTGAATTATTTTTGGTTTAATGTACTTCTTTATTTTCTCCCTCTTTCTCTTCTCTCACCCCTCTTAAGGGGTTTATGACACTTTAATGCAGCATCAGGGAAATTTTTATATGACTTTTCTGTAGCAATTCTTTCTCTTTTTTGTCATAGAACATTTAAGATGGTTCTAGAAATTTCTGGAAATAAATATGAAGTTATGATTACAGAATTTCTGATTGAAATAAACCTTGAACATTTGGCTAGGCTACACTAAGTAACAGAAAGACCTCAGGCCATCAAATGTTGGATTTTGATAGCAAAGAATTCCTGGTTTTGAGTTTCTCAAAACAAATATGGTAGTGTTCTATTTTGCATGGCCTAGTCCTCCCACCCTACTTCAGCCCCACTGCCTCTGCACTCATACAGAAGTGTTGCCCAAGAAAGTGTTGTGACTGAAACATTTGAGATACACTAACCTGCGTGATTTACCTTACTTGGATAAATGTTTCCCTTTGGGAACTTAATAAAAATTGATGTTGTTTTCATTTGAGCCACAGGTTGCACAGGAACATGAATCAAATACAGCTCGACCACTTGGAAAATCATCTTGTTTTATGTTCTGACATGGGCAATCCAGAAAGTAGGTCCCAGTTGTTTGGTTGAGAGTCAGAATTCACTGTCATTTCTTAACACTCATTGGACCTTTCAGATAACAGACTAGGAGAATGATGCATTAAGTGATCATAACATAGTGGGAGAGGAAAGGACCTACGAAATAAAAGGAAGAATACAGTTTTTAAATGTTTCTAAAGGCCCTCAGTAATCATCTGTCCCCTCTCCAGGAATATACACATTCCTAATTTCCAGTGTCTCTGTGGCTAAGAAATTTTCTTCCTGTCTTCTTAGCAAGCATAGGTTTTCAGGAACGAAGGCGCTAGTAGTATGCATGATTTCATTTGCATGGGACACCCCTTAAAGTCCAAATAGAGTCCTTAGAGTCCAAAATCTACTGTACATCTGAGTAGAAGACTGACTTGGGAAAGAGTAGAGCTCTGATCCTCTTGCCAGCTGTGCCGTTTCTCAGCTGTGAACGCCTTTCTCAGCTCCTCCCAACTTGTCTGGAGCCTACTCGGCTGTCAGGGCTCACTCAGCTGGGATGCTCTCTCCTCTTGATACCTCTGGCCCCATCACTCATCAGAAATTAGGCACATTCTGCTCTGCATCCTCTTGGTTCTTTACCCCTCTGTTACTGCAGTTGTTTCATTCTGAGATTAATTGTAACTCTCAGTTGGTCATTCTCTGAAAACTAAAAAGTTACAGACATAAGTAGAGGGCCAGTTGTCCCAGTTTGTCTAGGCTGAAGGGATTTTTCCAGCATGTAGGCTCTTCAGCACTGAAACCTGAACAGCCCCAGGCAAACCTGGGTGGTTGTCATCCTGTGAGGACCACGCATGATAACCCTTTGTAAACCAAACTCCAGTGAGAATAATGCATTGCACAGCCCTGGTGCTCCCTTCAGTGTTTATTATTGAAATTGTGTGCATCGATCTAATTTCCATTGCTACCACAAAATACCTAAGACTGAATGCATATAAAGATCAGAGACTTATTCAAGGACATGGTGCCAGCATTGGCTGGCCTCTGGTTAGGGCTCAAGGTAAATGCCATCGTAATGGGAGCAAGTAGGAGAGGAAGAAATCATGTGGTGAGAAATGAAGCCACAGAGCAAGGAAAGGCCGGGATTGCTCTTTCGTTTGGGTTTGTTCAGGGGGGTGGTTTGGTTTTAGTTTGGTTTTGATTTTGTTTGCAGTAAAAGAAATGGAACCCAGGGCTTTGGCACTGGAAGCCTGAGACCTTGAGGTGGTTACAGAGGTTTCAGTTACAGCACTGCTGTGGTGTTTCTTTGCTCATGGAGTCTTGGAAGTCACCTCCAGGGACCCAGACATCAGTGTCCAGGTACAAGTAATGAACGGCACAAAGCCAGGCATCTGCATACACCATGAAAAGATGTTCCTCCCTTTTCAACCCTGTGGTTTATTTCTTAACCATTTACCACCAAAGCAAAGGCATACTCAGGTACACCATCGCCCGTATCCATACTTTCTCACACATGCCATCCCAAGGAATGGAGTTGAGTGAGGATGGATTTTAGAAATACAGAGATTATTCACACCCAGAGACTTTGTCTACACACTGCTAGGCTGTTACACTAAGACATTTGCTGATTTCATTGTAGATAGCTTTGGTCTTGAAGGGTGGATGCAGAACTCCCCAAGGGCAGACATGTCTGTCTCACTCATTTTTTAAGATTGCCTGGTACAATATCTGGCATATGTGGTATGTTGTTGACAGATGTTTGCTGAATGAATGAATGAATGAATGAAATAATACATGAACACCTGGTCTACTTTCCTCTTTCGAGTTACTGTCTCACCTGATCATAGGATTTAAAGGCTTGGCACATCTCTGATTTTTCTTCCTTGTCTTTGTGCGTGCGTGTGGTATTAGGGATTGAACCTAGGACTTTCATACTGAGCTGCACCCCCAGCCCTTTTTTCTTATTTTTTACTTATTTTGATTTCTTTTTTTGGTATTAGGACTCGAACTCAGGACTTTGTACTTTCCAGGCAGATACTGTGCCACTGAGCTGTATCCCTGGCCCTTTTTATTTATTTTGAGACAATGTCTTGCTAAGTAACTAAGTTGCCCAGCCTAGCCTTGAACTTGCAGTCCTCCTGCTTCAACCTCCCAGAGTGCTGGGATTCTGTTTTATTTCTTAAAAACAGGAAATGCTATGAATGAATGTCAAAATACCAGAAAGGGAGACAGTAAAGATGTTACTGGAAAAATGAGAGTGCTTTTTTAACCAGGTTCAGCAGGTGACCCTTTGCTCATTCTGGGATGGCTTTTATTCTAATCACACACACAGTTTTAAAGTGCAGCTTCCCAAGTGCTGGGCCCTGCGTATTTTTCTTCTAGCTTGGCAGACGACAGTAAAGCTGTACCTGGCAGGTGTACCGAAGTGGTCTTTCACGTATAGACTTTGGTTGATGGTAGGTGAAGAGTCAGTCTGCTGGGACTGTAGCTGCGCAGGAGCAGCTGCGAAGGGGCTCTTGCTTTTGAAGCACATCCTAGCACTTGCTCCCAGCCCCTGCCTTCTCACTGCCCACCATCACCCTGTATTCTCAAGGCTACCCTTACCTGGGCCCACAATTAGAAACACAATCCCCAGAACCACATGTGCACCATGCTGAGCCTGTGTGCCTCTCGCCCAGTGTCAGTGTGAGCTTCCCTGTTGGTTCTGCTGCTGGGTCCTCTTCCTTCCCCGTTCCATCTGTCCCAGCTGCAAAGGGCCCCAGCCACGCTAGCCTGTAGGACGTGCCATGCCTCTTGAATCCCTTATGCAGTTTCCAGTGTCCCAAGTGATCTGATTGCCCGGTGTGGTAGTGCACACCTGTAATCCCAGCACTCGGGAGGCTGAGGCAGGAGAATCACTGCGAGTTCGAGGCCAGCTTGGGCTACAAAATGAGTTGAAGGCCAGCCTGAACTGCATAGTGAGACCCTGTCTCAAAAAAACACCAAACAAAACCAAGTGCTCTGATTATTTTATTTTAGTTCATTTTATTTCCCTAAAATTTTCCAAGGGCAGAAGCTATTACTTCTGTTGCTTTGGATTCTCCCAGCAACCCCAGGAAGGTGGCCACTTCTTTTCCATGTCATTACAAATAAAGCCTTGAGTAACCTGGCCTTTGCATGGAGAGCTCTAATATCTCTGCAAAGTTTTGATGTGGATTGTTTTGGGGGGATTAAAGACAGTGGTCAACACAAGAACGTAATGGAAGGACATCCAAAAATCAAAATATCACAAAACCATTTCACCAGTAGAATCTTTTCATTAAACTGCTCCTGAAAAATTCCTGTTAAAATTATGCATATGCACAAACACGAGTATATATGCATATAGATGTATGTATAAACATTTACACATGTACAGATACATGCCCTTGTATGCACATACATGCACAAGCATACTCACATACACTTACACAAGTGCACATACCTGTATGAAATAAACCCAGCAGAGAGCCTCATGGCAAACAACAGATAAGGTTTCATGGGAAACAGGTCAAGTCCCGGCCAGAGCCAGGCCTGGCCTTAAAAGGGCTGAGCCAAGTGGTTGCTTTGTCAGGTGCCAGGTGCCAAGAATAGTCAGATCCTCAGAGAGCAGTGGGGCAGCAGTGAAGGTGATGGCAGTGGTGACGTAGGACACAGCTTGAGCAGGCTGAGATGCAGGGACCACTGTCATTTCGTTAGACAGCCCTATCACTGGATGTTTGCACAAGTTTCTAGAATCCTAAATAGAAGAATGCCTTTGCCTTGGCTCATCCAATCTCTAAGGCACTCTATGTTCTGTGCACATCTCAGAAGAGAGCCACTGACGAGTGCTGGAGGATTTTCCTCTCTGGTCCTCAGCCTTCTCATCCGGAACGTGGAATTACATCTTCTGTACTCCATAGGCTTCTTCTGGGACGAGAATCCATTGCTCTTTCCCTTATACCATGTGGCTTCCTGTGGCCAGGCCTGTGGCACATCAGGCCTGGGGTGTCTCACATCTGCGATGTGATTTGCCTAATCTGAATATTTAAATTTCTTTATTTTGTGATAAAGTAACTACATATTCCAGAAACTGGGATGATCAACCAGGAATATCTTGGCTCCCAACTTCTGCTTTCTTGGCAATTTTCTTAGTACTTCAAACCCTCTTTTTACTCCCCTGCTCCAAAGTTTTTGTTGTTGTTTAGATTTGGTTTCTTGGGGAGTGTTTTTTTTGCCTTGCCTACTAAGGTGAAAACGGAACCAGACATAGTGACACACTGTGCTTTGTTTCCCAGGGAGATGTGCATCCAACAAGATGGGAGAATCCATCTCACTGTTGTTTACTTTGGGAAAGAAGAAATGAATGAAGTCAAAGGAATACTTGAAAACACTTCCAAGTGAGTACAGCCTGGAGCAGAGACAAGAAGTCACGGTGACCAAGTGCAGAAGTGCACACTCAGTCCTTAGTTTTATTTTCCTTAACACCAAGGAAACTGGGAGATTAATGGCTAGTCCAGTGTAGGAAAATACAGCATCCTTCTTCCCAGAAGGCGACCCGCCTGACACTGGTCTCCATTGTGCAGGGGGGCCAGCTTTGACAGTGGAGATAAACAGGGGAGTGTGGGCCTCTGTGAGCTCCCATGTGACCAGAGGTAATCACTCAGCAGATTGGGCCCTTCGGATCACTGCAGAGTAGGCCTGGCTGAGCAGGAGCACAGCTGTGCAGTGAGCTCTTATCTCTGCCACAGCTTCAGAAGCCAAGAGTGATAGTGTGTTCACATCTCATCCACTTGGCAAAGGGTCTCACTCTTTCACCTTTCATTCATTATGTATTTAGAGATGGGAAGGGGAAGCCAGAAGGGTTGGCTGGGATGGCCCCCTTGAGTAAAACTACTCAGCTGAGCAGAAATTAGGTAACTAGACCTTTTAGGCCCAAAGTTGTGTATCTGTATCTCATTCATCAGTTACACAGAGCATAAATATATTCAAAAGCAGCATAAATGGATTTTTTGTCTGCCAAAATATATAACCCTCCTAGCATCTTGTACCAGTGGGGAAGCAAGAATTGGTACCATCCTGCTCCCCTTTGGCTTGTCCTGGAAGTTTGCAGGGCTTTAGCTGAATAATCAGTTAGGTGGGTACTTTTCTGCATAAGTGAAGCTTTGATAGTGATCAGTAGTAGTGGCAGAAGAGCCTGAATAGGTTCATATAGTTTAGGTATAATCAGGACATTCTGTTTGTGAGTCTCTGGTAAGTGTAACAGGATGATACTTGAAGGATAAGATTCCAAGATTGAGAGTATTTTCTATGTATATTTCCATGCTTTTTTTTTTACTAGTTTTGTATCAATGGATGAAAGATCAGAATGATAGTTACAATTTTTCAAACATTCTAAAACAGAGATAGGAAACTATAGCTCATTGGTTAACTTTGTCACATTTTTTTTAAATAAAGTTTTATTGGAATGTAATTAGGTCCATTTGTTTACATGTTATTTATGGTTACTTTTGTGCTACAACTATAAAGTTGAGAAGTTATGATACTGTAAGACTCACAAAATCTAAACAGTTACCATTTAGCCCTTTACTGAAAAAAAATTGGTGACCCCCATTCTAAAGACTTAAGAGTTTAAAACTGGTGTACAGTGTAAAGCTAAGGACAGTGTGTAAACGAGACTGAATAGAATAAAATACTTGAATATCTTAAATGTAAGTGAAACAGTAATCTGTTAACTTCAGTGCATTACAGTGTCCTCTGCCTAGAATGAAAAGCCTGAGTGATTAGAATCATGTTCTTTGCCCAGGGGTGGCCTTAAACATCTCCACCAATATTCTGGACATAGATTTGAGTTTCCTCCTTTGAATGTGCAGCCAGGAATGAGGACCATTCTGAGGTATTTTAAGCATCTATCCAGGTGACTCTAATGAACAGCCAGAATTGACAATCTCTGTGCTATTGGGACTGACACCTTTCCAACACATCAAAAGATAATCGACATTTGCTAAGATTACACATAACAACTTATGTGAGTCTAATTGGTAGGTTAGATATGTTATGGGAAATGCTCTTTCTAATGACTAGAATTTTTAAGTGGGATTCTTCTCCATATCAAGTTACCAGCCAGTGGAATTCTCAGCCAGAAAGTTTTCTGGTGAGCAGAGAATGCCCAGAATCCAGAGGAGAGATGTGAAATCATTTGGGTGGTAGGGATGGCTCACCTAAAACTTTGGAAAGCATCCATAGATCAGTCTATGCCAGACAGAGAACTTCATGATAAAAGATGGGGTATATGGATGCTTTAAAGTAGCAAATGCTATATAATCTTTGAGGAAATAAATTTGAGCCCCATTTTTCTGTGTTGATATCCTCACGCTGTTCACTGGTGATGTCTGTTATGTTGATGTCACTGGTGCTTTGGGACACTTCCCCCTCTCATGGTGTTCCATTGGTCTGACGACGTTTTGTGGGAATGCGGCATTCAGATGGATGTCATAATGCCACACCACAGTCCACCTTTCAGATACGTCTCCCTACATCACCCATTGCTTTCTGTTACCTAAACTGATTGTTATTTTGAACCTTATCTTTACTTTCCATGCCGACCAGTCCCCTGGGCTTCTGTCCACCCTCTTTTACATTCTCGCAGAGCTCCCCAGCCTCTACCCTTAGTGGTGTCTCCTTCATGGAGCTGCTCCTGATGCCACGTCCTTTCCTCTCTGAACCTGCGCCTTACTCACTTTTGGCACCTCATATTTGGTGCATGAATCTGATTTGGTTGCTTACCTTTATTTTTATCATCTTTACTTTTTAATTAAATTATAAGCCACTCAGTAAGTGGTGCTATGTCTCCTTCTTCTTGGTATCTCCAGCACTTAGCACAGCACCTTGCACAAAAAATGTTCAAAGTTTGTTTATCGAGGGAAAGACAAGGCCATCTAATTAATAAACTTGCAGAAACTTATATGAGGGTTATTTAAATACCTTTGTCATTGTTAAGGTAGTAAAATTTAATGCAATGGCATTTCATTTTTATTAATAGCTATTATTATTATTTGCACAAATTATTTAATATTTGTGATAAATCCTGTTATTAGCCTCATTTCAGAGGTGAAGAAACTGGGGTTTTAAGAAGTTGTTACTTTGGCTGTCACCCCAAGCACCTCGTTGGTGATGGTCCAGGATTCACAGTCTCACATACCATCAGATTTTTCAAGCTTATATGTCCCTTCCAAAAATCCAGAATTGTTACTTGAAGGTAATAAGACCTATAATCAGACTAAATGTAACATATTGCATTTGGAGAATGGTATTGCAATGAAGCTGTTCTAAATCAGCTAAATGCATGCATCTTAAGAATATGTAAAAATAAAATCATATTTAATAACAGGTTCACAGCATTTTACACACGCTGTCTCCCTAGGCTTCTTCTTGACTCTGTTGCTTTCTGTTGCAAGTGATTGCTATAGATCAGTGTTTTGCAAACTGTAGTTTGTGGTTCATTAGAGGATTGAGAAATCAATTTAGTGAACTAGGTCCACTGTCTTTAAAAAGTGAGATGGAATAGGATGTAAAACATCAAGATGAATCATGGGTAGTAAGAATAAATAACATTTCATGAGACTTTCAGTGCATGTGCTTGTGTGTGTGTGCGTGCATATGCAGATACTGCATCATGATGGATAATATATTCTTTGTAAGGATTATGGTTAAAATGTTTACAAGCCACTGCCACAGACAACAGTGCCAATCCATTCTCAATACTGGATTGTTCATCCATAGACTTTTCCAAGTTTCATTTCATCTCAGATGAAAGCCTACCACAGCACTTCGCAGATATAAATATGCTTTGGAGTAAGCTGGGGTGCTTTTTAAAATGCAAATTCTGACATCCAGCCCTTGGACATTTTAAGGCAGAAGACCTGCCATGAAGCCTGGGAACCAACACTGCCAGCTGGTTCCGTGTGCAGGGCTGATGTGTGTCATCCGCAGGCAACGCTTTGAGAAACACTGACCCTAAGTGGATATTGGGTTGCAGCTGGGTAACAGGAATTTTCATTTTAAATTGGAATAGGTATGAACTGACATTTAACACACTGTGAGTTCATCTTTATCCAGTCATAAGGACACAGGCTTGTTTTAGAGTAGTCATGCCTGAGATCAAGGTAGTAGAAGTGAGGCGCTGCTCTGCACAGTATGTGATGGGATAAGGGCTATAGTTTTGTTATTGTGGTCAGGAACCTGCCTCGCAGTAGTGTGTATCAGCATTTCATGTCCCTTTGAAGTGATCTGATTGACACATACCCTAGGATGAGTAAATATTGATGTGAAAGGGAACCTTCTGGAATTGCGCCCTCCTCCCCAGCTCTGTGGTGACTTGGAAGCCAACAGCCACAAACACAACAAGTGACACAGCCCAGCAGTCACCAGAGGGGCAGAACAGAATTGGAAATCCTTAAAGCACCACCCGAACTGTCATTATCTGAACTTCTGGGTTTCCCTGGAAGACTGCACTCAGAAGGTTGTCTTTATTTAGGCTGTTTCGGAGTTTCCCAGTGCAAAAGACCTTTTTTTGATGTTGAGGAGTATTTATCAAAAACAGTTAGCTTTGTGGCTGTTTAAGATAGTGGACAACAGATTATCTAAAAATGCTCACACAAATGCCCAGAGGTGTGCTTCTGCTGAGCAAAGACCTGACTGGGCCTTAAGGATGAATCTGACCATGAAGCTCTGTGTGAGGAGCAAGTAAAGGTGAAGAGCAATTTACCAGCTGCTTGATTCAGAGTTGAAAGTGCACTAACGTGTCCTGCGAGTTTATCCCCAAAGATAGCGAGACTCACTGATTCCAGGCAAGTAACCACTGGGTTTCTGTGGAACTCACTGGTTTCCATGGAAGAAAATCTGTGTCCAGCCATGAAGAGGTCACAGACAGCACAGATTACAGATGACAGGATTAGTTCAGGGAACTCACCTAATAAATAAGCAGCAGTAAATCAGGGGGAGGAGAGAGATTCTGAATTCTATGGTTGCCACATTATATTTAATTTATTTATTAATCTATTAACATTATTAATTAATTTATTTATTTTTCTGAGGCAGGGTCTCACTGTGCAGTTCAGGCTGGTCTTGAGCTCACTTTGTAGCCCAGGCTGGCCTCAAACTGTTAACGATCCTCCTGTCTCAGCCTCCCGAGTGGTGGGATTACAGGCATGAGCCACCATGCCCAGCTACATTATTTTAAAAGTTCCCATTTTTACAAAAAGTATGAAGCATGTAAATAAATAATTGCCCATGCACAGAAAAAAATCTAGTCGTTAGAAATTATCCCTGAGGAAGCTCAGACACTATAGTTACTATCAAAGACTTTAAATGAACTATATTAAAGAAACTACCTTTAAAG